ACTGGAAAAAAAATGATTCTCTAAGTAATTAATTATCAATGCTACCACCAGAAGGTTAGGCTTTCTTGAATTAAATGATGTCATAATAGCACAATGACATCACACTATTACAGGACTGATGCCGTTTTCATGCAATCTTGGAAAAATGGAATGAACGCTGCTTGAATCGGAAATTCAAATCGGAAAGTCCTCGATGAAAGAATAGAGGAAAACTGATTCTGTGTGATTTGTTTATCACACTGATAGTTTACATTGCATTCTAGAGAATTAATGTTTTTTTATGCACTAGTCTGTACTTTTGCACTTGTATTCCAATGTGTGTTTACTGCAAATGTCCAATAAACTGAATCTGAATCAACACAAAAAAACAGATTTATCAACAAAGGATGAGCGGGATATAGTTTCGGGAAAACCATTCAAACTTACCCCAAAATGTCAGTTTTTTTATGATGACCAATATGAGATTTCTGCCTCTTTTTCTCTTACAAGTAGTGCTCTATGGCTGGAAAAGTTGTATTGAATGACACAATGTGGGGGGTGAAGTGTCTTGCCAATGGACACAATGGCATTTTAGCCGTGTAGTGGTAGTGAACAGTGAGAGGACAGCAGAAGAAGCAAGACAGGGCTTTGCATGTGTGTGTGGACACTGGATACGATGTGCGGTTACCAGGCAACCATTGATAACCAAATCCCAGAGCATCCCGAGCGTGTGCTGTCTCCCCCCCTTCTCCCCCTCCCTCCTTCAGCCGTGTGACTTTATTACCCAATCACATGCCAGCGTCAACCTGAACTCCTAACGATTCACAGAAGCCTCACTGACACCCGAGGGCGACTCCGGACCGTCGGAACAAATCTCTCTCTGCTGAGGGAACGTTCAGCGCTGTGCAAAAGTATTCATACCCCCAGGAACTTTTAATATATTTTGGTCTCGTTATGATCCCAAACAAGAAGATATTTGATTGGAATTTGCATTTAACAGTCCAACACAAAGTGGCAGCAATTTAGATTAGTGAAAGAAAAATGATATAGAATTTTAGCAGCGCTTTTAGAAGTTATCACCATGAATTATTAGAATATGTGAGGGTTATGAACAATTAGCTCATCTGCAGTTTAATTTTAAATTGAGCTACTGAAGGTTGCATGGGCCACTATGAATACAGAATATGTGTTTGTAATGTGTAATTATGTTTAGTCTTTTAGCGTAAAAGGACAATAATGGTTGTCATCAAAAACATGTTTTAGCTCCATCCTCCTGATACCATGGGAACTGTTGAGCCTGCACTTGTCATCTAACAGTAAATACTGCAATCATGTGCTATGTGCAATACTGCAATTTAATAATGTCCACTGAATGTCTTTTTATTTACTTTATTTGTCATATATGTATATCATTTACACTGTGTAGATACTGAAACAATTACTCACATTTACTGCTAATTAAGAAGCATTAACAGATACTTATCTCTGTATATCTTGTGCTCTTCTCCTTGTGCACACTGCAACATCGAAATATCTCCACTGTGAGATGAATATTTTCTTATCTTAATACTGCTGGCACAAACACGCTGCATTAACCCTTCTTTTAAAAAAAAAAAATACATTTCAACTATCTCACTGACAATCCTTGGATTATGACATCATGGATAATTTTTTTTTTAATGTATTTAAATATTTCATAATACTCCGCAAATTGGTTTTTTATAATTGCGACAAACGAAGCCATTCATGTCAATGAATTTTCACAAACATCAAATGCCAAAGAAAATATTTTCCAGACCATTATCAAATGTGGTCTTTAATGACAATGGCTTCGGCCACTTACCTGAATGAAATAAGTTAATTTCGGTAATTGTAAGATTGCCTAACCCTAAAGTGCAGTACAGTGGAAAGAAAGACCGTAAAGGTGTAGCTGAAGCTAATGCTTATTTTAAGTGTAATTAGTATAAGTGAATGTATACAATAGGATTTACATGATCAACCGTATAAAACTATCATTCTTCATGTAGCCATTCAAAATGATAGTTTGAACCTTCTCACTGAAGTGGAAAAGTGAATAACATGATTGAAGTTAATCCGTGCATCCACTCCAGAGATCAAACTAGAGAGGTTGCTCTCTGGAACAGATAAACCATTTTCATTACTTTAGTTCTACATTTTTGCTTTATGTCTGCTCTTCTCAACTCATAATGAATGTCTCTGATTGTGAGCTTCTGTACTGATTTTGATAGGAGGTCATTTCATATCTTAAACATTAATATTGATGTGTATCAGTCGACACGGCCGTTAGGTAGACAGGGACCTCGCTGCGTTGTGTAACCTGGATGCCCTGTCCACACCAGCATTTCACTGGTGACTTTGTTTGCAAGAGCTGTGCTAAATCGATGCGCTTCTATCCATGTGTCAGACTGCAGCGGCTGGCACACCGCGGCGCCTTCCTCCGCCGGAGTGATGGTAACCAGCGAGGATGGCCCATCAACTGCATTTTTCAATATCTCTGCCCGGGCCGCACAGACAGGAGCCGGAGATTGGGGGGAGTTTAACAGCTCGCGGTGCATCTGTATTCTGAACCAGGCCACTGTATAGATTTGTGAAGAAAAGGTTAAAGAAAATTATGAGGAAAATGGGAGACGGTAATTTGATTTTCTCACCCATTAGGTAGATCACCTTTTGAGTCAATATAACTTTAAGCATGCTTGGAACTGAAATCTACGTCTTTGGGGCATTTCACTTTTCCCATCAAACTGCATCTCAACCATGTGGTAAAGGCCATTAAAAACAAAATTGGGGGCCCATAATTTCAATTACATGTATTTTTGTATATCACCAACAGTATATCTCAGATTTTCGCAAAACCGTTGAATTCGCCAAAACAGATCAATGAATCAAACCCAAGAAATGCAAAGATAAAAACAGATGAAAGTCCATAAATGTCATTGAATGTTGAGTGTCCCGGTTCATCCTCGCTGTCTTTAGACCCTCCTGCAACGGCAAGGAACAACTCTAAAAACCCAGTGAGGGAGGTCCATGTTTACCACGGATGGACGGTCTATAAGATCCAGAATTCAGGCTGTAGAACGAGGACCGAGTCCACGCATTGCAGGACTGAGTAACAAACATGTTATTGGTTACAGTGGGGACCCTCATTGCTCTGAAAATTGGGGGCTTGTGTGACCAGTATCGTCTGCAAACAAACTCATGCTGGATTCGAGGAAGACTGACCAGTCGTTACTTTTTCCCAGCCATGTGCCTTCGCCTTCAACATTGTTTTTTTAACAGGCAGAATCCATTGTTTTATTAATATTCATAGTATCAATTATGTAGCCATAAGTATGTGAGGCTTGCCCCTTCTCTTTGCTTTCCCCTCTCTGAAAAAAGTGAGGTGGAGAGGTTGTTTGATGGGAGCTACACTGGAGCAGGTGAGGCTAAACTTACATTGTGTTCTTTGACGGCACACTTTGCCCACATTTCCAGTATTCATCTGAGCTTCAATCAGTCTGTCTCAGGGCAGCTGTGGCTACAATAGCAGTTAATCACCATTGAACAAATAACGCTAAAATAAGTAAAGTGCTGTTGTGAAATTCACAATCTGTATAAAGATTACTTTGGTGGAGTGGATGTTTTCATGATTTGATTTGTTTTATTTTGTAGTATTGGTTGTCCTGTTGAGTTTAATTTCCTGTTTCTGTGATCACCTGCCCCACCCCGGTGTACTCCACCTGTGTTTATACACCGTGCCCCTCTTCTGTTGTGTGATTTGATTTGTTTGGGAAAGCCTCTTGAGATGCGGCATCTCATCTGTCAATCCATTGTCTACCCCACGGTTGTTCCTGGCTTGTGGGTTTTTACTATCCTGGATTTGGTTTTATTTAATCAAATCACACTTTATTTCCCTGCATTGTCCTTTACAGTCCTGCTTTTTGTGTTTAATTATTCAAACAATAAATATGAATCCTGAACCATTGATTGTATAACCCAATGTTTTATTGTATATTTCAGCAAAGCAAACATAACATTTAAAAGTGATGTTATGTAGAACGTCACTTTTAGATTGTGAAAGGCTTTAATTTTGTGCAAATGGTAAACCCAATCAGACATAAATCTTTTAAAATTGACCCAAAAATTCACAAGATTCTCCTCCTACAGTTCTTAGTTTCTCGCGACGGCTAAAGGAAGATCTCCTTCTTTATGATTTAAAAAAAAGAGCCCATTGTTATACACCCATCTGTGTTTACAAATCGGACTACAACATGCAGTCTTCAGAACACACTTTATCTTTTTCATATTAGCCCATGAGTCTCCTTATATTAGACACTGACAGCTGATTGGCTGAAAGAGGGTGGTCCACTTTTCTTTCTAAAAAGCCGATCTAAACATGTGACAGAGGCCAAAATACATGCAGGTGAAGACCAGTGATAGAAAAATAGTGTTTGAGAGAGAGTAACTTAGCGTGAGAGTAATTGGCTCCAAGTTTGTGGTTTTGAAAGTTAGGTACCCCAGCTTTACACTTTCAGTTAGTTTCTGCATGCGTCTGCCCACATTAACTTTCCACCTTTTCACAAAAACACCGTGATTTCTACCTAATTGTGAATAAGGTTGATACACTCACACGCGCGCACACACACACATACGCTCACACGCACACATGCCATCGATAGAGAGGGAGAGAGCGAGAGAGAGAGAGGAACGCACGGATGGGGGGAGATGGGGGCGGACCAGTGAGCCATCATCCCCGCAGAAACCTCAGCCGTGCACACTCACTACCTGTCCGCGCGCCTCCACCACCTCTCATTGGATTAAGACTGTGCACTGTGCGTGCGCTAATCTGCCCATCGAGGGGGCGGTGGCGGCTGGGGCAGGAGGCAGAAGGAGCGCGCTAGTTTTTTTGGGGGGGATCAAACCTCTTCCCATGTCCACTTAACCATCCAACTAAACGCGTTTTATCTTATGTTATTTTATTTCTGATTAATTTTGCGATGGACACCTGCGCGCGTCGGGTGTGCATGCTGTTCGTAATTGCGCACGTCTGGTTGGACAAATCCGAGGCTTCGCCGTTCCCCACGGAGTTTATGTAAGTAGCTTGTAATCCAGCGCGTTGTTTGGTATTCTCACTGTGTGTGAGTGTGTGTATGTGTGTGTAAAGTTGGTGTGTGTGCGTGGGGTCTGGCTCGTTCATTCATGCAGAGCGGAGGGGAGACGGCGCGTGTATACTTGGCTGCTTAAAGGAGACATATTGTACGTAATATTTGGAAGCGGTTGAATTATGAAACTCAACCATGCATAAATAATTGTTGTATTGTGTCTACTCTGTGCAGCACTAATTGATCTGCAATTACTTATCATTAGAAGCGTGTATAATGACTTGTGCAAAACTAGGCGAAGGATATAGGAGTGTGTATTATTTCTGCTTCAGGGATTAGTAAACAATAAAAACTACTTTACATACATATTGAACAATTTAATGACTGAAAGGGTTTAGGCTGTAAGTACACATGCATCCACAAACATGAACTATCTTTGTACAAGTTATTGGCATTAAACAAGTAATAGTGCATTGTAAAAAAATAATGACAGTCGTGCCTTGTTTTCATTTGTATTTAAAAATCACGTTGAGAAATGGTAACTTGGCTTTTGAACATTTGGAAATAGAATGATCAAGTGCAGGGGAATTGGCAGGGATAGGTGGGTGGGTGAAGGTGATATTTCCGAGCTCTGAAACCTCATATAAAGGGTGACAGGCATCAATAGAAATTAAACTTAACATACACAATAACAAGGTAAGCGATCAAGAATAATCTTGAGTCACAGTGACAAATGTGGAGATACAGATATTGAAATGACCCTTGTACACATGGATAAACCAATTTAAATGTATTTATCATTTAAAAGTTAGAAAATGGAACCAACTATGGAATTAAGCAAAACATGGCCATGCAAGCGACTTACTCGGCTCAAGTGGTTTCATATACGAAGAAAATTGCAACAGTGCACAGATAATTGCTAAGGTCTTCGGTAGTTCTTTCTCTAGCTTGACAATAAATGCATGAGAAGCACTATTCAGAACAAATTTTAAACTGGTCAGAAAGCCTGATATTGATCCAAAAGCTGTAGATCAGTTGCCAATTCCCTCTTCAGTGTGACAAGGCTTGGATACCACTTCATATCTTTTGCCCCGTGAGGCAAATGAGGTGTGATAAAATGTGCTGTAGTTATGTGTCACACACTAATTATTTATGCCGATTTATGGTGACTTCATTCATTGTTTCCACAGCTGCCAGTGTCCCCTTTATTCGTGGGTTTGAGCCCGACTTTCACCATCGACTCCCATTGTCCTTGGCAAGACGCTTAACCTCTGGGAACACCAGATTGAGTGAATGAATAATGACACATGTAAAGCGTCTTTGAGTGTCCAAAAAGGCGCTATATAAAACCAATGCATTATTATTATTAGAATTTCAGACTAGCGATTTGTCCAGGTCCAGGAAATGGAGGTTTATGTTGAAACGGTTCCTCTCTGGTTTATCAGGATGTTGACTGAAAGCTTTTGTACATTTCTAAATTAAAGTATAGTAAATTCTTACAGTTTGATAGTTAGGTACCCTAGCTTTAACAAAAGAATAGAAATGACAAGATATGCTGTATTTTTTGCTTTTTCAACAGTTTCAAAGCCGTCACTATGGTAACTGGGCTTTGTCCAGTTTATATCTAATATCACAGAATCACACTGACCCCACAGTCTGAGAGCAAGAATCGCTCTTCAGGCTACGCCTCCCTGAACTCGAGTAAGTGGAAAATCTGGGAAAACATGCTTTGTTTAGTGTAGCTTAACTATCTAAGCAACTGATTGATGTCCCAAAACCTCGCCTTTGAATACTGTACCTGGGGATGTCGCTCAAACTGGGATAATCCCACTGGGGCTGTCGTTGGTCGATTCATTGCTCGATGGTTTCTTTTTTGACCAAGTTTTGAATTTGTCGATAATTATTTTATTTAATTTACACCATTTTCTATGTGAAAATTGCAAAGTTTATAAGTTATGTAGCAAAATGACAGAAGATTTTGGTAATTAATCCATTGACATGGCTTATGTTTAGTCCAATTTCTTCGGTCAACTTCAACCCGAAAACTGATGATGGAGGTAAATCCAACTCAAGTAAGCTGATAAACTGTGACTTTACAACTTTTCGAACCCTTGCAGTCTTCCCTTGTTTTCTCCATAACGACTGACAAAAGTGGTATATTATTTTAAACTGAATCTGTTTTAGGACTTGGAGTACAAACAAGTGGCCTGAGGCCCTGTAGTTTTGGCCTAGGATTACTAATTAACTCTAATTAGACGTGGGAACAATAATCTCTGCACAGAGAAAGTCCCCCCCTTCACATCTATTTGGTAAAAACAAGCAAAACCCTGAAAATTAGAATACTCTTAAGTCCATTTACTTCTGTAATCATGCCTCACAGATTGTAAAAAAAAAAACGGTATAAAAAATATGTTCAAAAATGGACTGCAAGTCATAAGAATTCAAACTTTAAACAAACAACAAAAAGGCTTGGCATTTCTCACGTTCATCAACTTAACTTGAAGAATGTTAAGTTACATTTAACATTTAAAGTTGAATTACAGAAACAAATGAAGATCTGAACAATTTCATTTTTTTTTGAGAATGCTGGTACTTAGATTTATCAGGCTGGAGAGTGGCAAATGCAAAAAGCTCCAGCACAAAAAAACACTTTTTTAATATTATAATGTCTTATTTGTTTTAACCAGGATGAAACCCATTGAGATGACGTCTGCGTCGCTAAACGGCATACGTTTAAACGTGTGCAGTTTGTAAGCCTACTGGTTAACACTAGCCATTTTTTTTGCATAGAAATGAATTAGCTGGAACGCTCTGAAGACGGTATGTTTTGACTGGGAAATAACCAATCTCCCATTTGACTGGAACGCCTTACAAGACCACATCAATAACTAGTCAAAGGAGAGTTGTGTGGTGTTTACATGAAAAAACGAAAGCAGATGGACTGTTTGTTTCCAGTCGGCTTCAGCTACAGGACGCAGAAGTTCGCTGTTTTACGTCATCATTAATTACAGAGAAAGCCACGCGCTCTCCAGGCCACCTCATTATTTTTCGTACTACTTTCTTGCTTTTGCACATCTGTCTCTGGCTCTTCCTGTGCCATTGGGGCTGATTGTGTTGTGTTGATAACCCTCGCTTGAAACAATGCAAGCCGACGTCTGACCCAGATGTGTGCGTATTTAATTATTCCGCGAAGCGAGCTAATCAAAGCGGAGCAAACCGGGGGAAGGAATAGTTTTTGCCTCATCAGCGCAACATTAGTTTAGGCAGAATTAATGGGACACAATTAGCGGGTTTATTTGGGGTTTTTAGACTAATCGTGCTCCCCTTTTTGACCGCATTACACATTTGACAATTTTCATTTGGTAAGGAAGGAGTTGTGCGCCCAGCAGAGGGAGTTGTGCGCTCCTCATGAAGACTAGAAAAGTGTTTGGAATGAGTTGGGTTACAAAAAAATAGAGTAGACACATAAGCCAAATTTTGCTAAAGTTTGCATACTTGAAAGAAAATGCCCTGCGGTCTTCTTTCATTTTTCTGGATGAAGCTTAGCTAAATGTATTCATGCAGGTTAGTACTTGGTAGATTTGTTAGTGTTCATGGTAGATAATTTATATTTTACATCCTCCTTATATCCACTTGAAATAAGTTACTATTGTTTTCAGAATAGGTTTGATTCCATTCCTGAAACAAGAAAGTTGGATACCCGCTTCCTCTGTTGCTTCCTTCACACACATCGATGTAATTCTATTTGAATATCTTTTGTACCATTCTGCATTCGCCAAACGCCTTGACATTTTAAAACGGCCGTCCACTTCATTGCGTGTCACAAAAGGCCGACCCTGTCCGCTGACGATGAGAGGCATTCTCACTGATTAACTATGACATATGGAAAGAACACTTTACCTTTTACCTTTTACAGCCACTTTGCCTCTGTCTGGATCAACCAAAACCCATCATGAACCAGTGCGTTACAAAAGATTGATCTAAAAGCAGGCAAACCGGGGTAATAAGCTATTTCTGTTAACTTTTCCCAAATTGAAGAAGACAGTTTATCAGTGTTGTGCCAGTTCTCAGCTTTTCTGAACTAGTTCAAGTTCAGTTCGTATGCTCAAAGTGAACAGTTCACGTTCAAAGTTCACAATTTTAATTCTGAACTAGTTCAAAGTTCAGTTCATTTTACTATTTTTTGTGAAATAGTCAAATAAATACTTTTTTTTCACACTACGAGCTATATATATATATATATATATATATATATATATATATATATATATATGTCCTGTACACCCACAGGAGGAGAGCCTTATGACTACAAAACAGACAAGATTTACATGGTTTTCAATGGGAGCAAAACGGAGTTGCTCCATCTCTGCTTATAAACTACAAATAGTAATTTGGGGACACACGCGCTGCAGTGCGTGTGTCTATACTTCATGTCAAATGTAAACGGTGTAAACTTTGTCGCTAACTCACCCTGTGTTTTCATCACGACTCGGGCACATGTGAAAAGCACCAGCTCACAGTGCCGCACCGCAACACAGAGTCGGGGTGCGTTCACAGACAGTGGAAACCGTAGGATTTTTTTGATTTTGGCGGAAAAACTGCGAGAATACAGGAGGGAGGAACTTTCTCTCGTTGCGTTTCAAAAGGGTCCAGACAGACCCACGGGAGGCTCGCGGGAACAACGCACCCACCTTCGGCCTCCCTATGGTAGAGGAGGCCGGGGTGGTAAGAATTCTTTCAATAAAGGCCGACCGGCATTTCATCAGTACTCGTTGTCTGAGTCTCATTTGGGGGTACGTAACATGTCTAATGTGTCTGATTGTGTTACTTCCCGGGCCCATAACGTTGCTCCGCTAGGCCTGCAACCCCCAGAGCAGGGTGTGCAGTGCGCTACGCGAGCTACGAGCTCCGGTCCTCTGATCCATGCTATGCCCTCCCAGAGAGAGGTCAGGCGGAGGGATCTGGTGAGTAGTGGTGTGTGTGCTTTGGC